AAAGGTCTAAATATTAGGTGCCAGGGAGATGGCTCAGTGGAATAAGTGCTTGCCTGGCAAGTGCAAGGGCCTGGGTCCAATTGTTGGTTCTGCAAAAAAAAAAGAAAAAAACAAACAAACAAATCTAAATATTAAAGCAGAAACGTTAAACCTGCTGGGAGGTAGAATAGGTACACCTCTTAACACTGGTGTAAGCAAAAACTTTAAGAATAAAACCTGAGGCCAGGGAGATGGCTCAGTAGAATAAGCACTTCCCTGGCAAGTGCAAGGGCCTGAGTACAATCCCCGGTTCTGCAAAAAAATAAATAAATAAATAAATAGAACTTGGCTCATACAGGAACTATCCACAAAGAATCAAAGAATCAACAACTGGGATCTCATCTTATAAAAAAGCTTTTGCACAGCAAGAGAAATCAAGACAGTGAAGAGACGATCCACAAAGTTGGAAAACATTTTTGTCAATTGTTCTTCAAACAAAAGAATACTACCTAGAATGTGGAAAGAACTGAAAAATATCAGGCTCCCAAATTGAAAGATCTAATCCAGAAACAGGCATTTGAGATGAACACAACACTTCTCAGATGAAGTACAAAGCGCTAATAAATAAATATGTGAGGGGCCAGGGAGATGGCTCGGTGGAATAAGTGCTTTCAATCCCCGGTTCTGCCAAAATAAATAAATAAATAAATAAGTGAAAAAAAATGTTCCAACATCATTGGTTATTTGAGAGATGAAAATTAAAGAACAATGAGATTCCATCCCAACCCAGAATGAAAAGCAATCATCAAGCAATCAAGCAAGGGGCTGGGGAGATAGCTCAGTGGAATAAGCGCTTACCTAGCAAGCGCAAGGGCCTGAGTTCAATCCTCAGTTCCACAAAGAAAAAAAAAAAAAACAGAAATCAAGCAAGAAGGCCAGGGAGATAACTCAGTGGCATAAGCACCTGCCTGGCAAATCCAAGATCCTCAGTTCAATCCCAGTACAAATAATAATAATAATAATAAATGGATCTCTGGGGGAAAAGGAACCTAGCTCCACTGTTGGTGGGAATGCAGACTAGGAAAACCACTGTGCAAATCTGTGGAGATTCCTCAAAAAATTCGCATTAGAGGTCCCTTTGACCAAGCTATTTGGGTATTTAACCAAAAGAATTAAAGTCACACCACAACCATATACTACACCCATGCTTACAGTGGTACAGTGTGCAAGAGCCAGGCCTTCAAACAGCCCCAATGCCCATCAACTGATGGATGGACAGAAAGACATGGGGTTTTCTGCAGTGCAGTACTATGCCGTAAAGGATAAGCTGGAGACATTTATACTTCGTGGATGGAGTTCGTCTAACCAAACAAACGCACCTGGAGACCATACAAATGACACACGTGTAGATGCCTCATCGTGTCTCTGCCGTGGGAAACTCGAAGTGTAAAGAAGAACCAAAATGCCTAACAGAAATTGTGAGGTAGGAAGAAACTGTTCAAAAAGAAAGGGGAAGGGGGAAAGAAAAAAAATCAGACGCATAAAATGAAAACAAAGCTTTGTAAATAAGAAGAGGGGCTGGAGAGGGGGACAGACAGGAATCGATGTGTAGCATGGACACATATAAATTCCTTCCGTGAATGTGAACATTATGTACATCTGTTTCCTTTTTTCTGCAGTACCAGGGATCAAACTCAGGGCCTTGAGCTTGCCAAACAGGCACTGATACCAGAGTGCTATGCCCCCCCCAAAATTCCTGTTTCTTGTTTTTTCTTTTTTTTAATAAAAGCACTGTTTTGGGGTTTTTTGTTGTTGTTGTTTCATTTTGTTTTGTTTTGTTCAGTACTGGGGATTGAATTCAGGACCTTGCAGTTGCCAGGCAGGCGCTTAAGCCGCTGAGCTATCTCCTCATCCCAACATTATACACACACACACACACACACACACACACAAATAAACTTAATTTTTGAAAAATACCCAACTGCTTTCCTCTAGCAAGATAGGTATCGTGAAAAACACGAGCCTGGAGGCCTGAGTTCAATCCCCAGTAATGCCAAAAAAAAGAAAAAAGAAAAACATGTGTCCCAATATTATCACACAGAACAAAATGATCAGGAATACATTAAAAGAAATGTAAGATTTGTACACTGAAAACCGTAAGTATCACGTAAACAACTTTTGAAAGTCGAAATAAGTAGACACTGAAAGTTCACAGGGAACCAGATTTCGCCTTCGGAAAGAGCGTGCGGACGTGCCTTAGCGGTTCCTTTCAGGCCACTCTGCTGCCGGGCAACGGGGTCCCGAGGGTCCAGGACAGCGCAGTAACTTCCCACCTCGCAGCAACACACAGTAAATGCACCAGCCCCTCGAAGCCACCTCATCCTCCGGTGTGTCTCACAAACAAACCCCCCTTGCTCCCCAGCCCAGGTAGCAGCAAAGGCCTTTTTGGTACAAATGTGCATGTTCTTCCCCCCCACACACAACTAGCCCTAATTAGCTTACACACACTTGTGAATCCTACTCAGCCTTTTTTCTTAACACCAGGAACAATAAACCCCATCAAAGAAAATATTACTCAGCCTTCAAACATTTGGCCAATATCTAATTCGAGGTGGCAGTGACAAAGGAACGGTATCAGAGCTCCAAAGGACATGGGCAAATATAACTCCCAACGCGCTGGGTGTCTGATACTCTGAGCTCCCCCAAAATAGAAGAATCCATTCTAAGAAACTACAGAGACGGAGAGGAGGAGCTTTTGTTGAAGCCAAGACAGGAAGGGGCCCAGAGGTGCGGTGCCGAAGACTCCACCCCAGGAGAGTGTAATCCTGCAAGGCGGATGCAGAATCACAAGACGGGCACAGAATCAGTTGGTGGATGCCAGGTGGGGCAAAGTGAGGATGAACCACTAAGGTCACAAGGAGGCAGTACGGATCCCAGGGGAAGCAGGCCTCGGGGCAAGTGTGCAAGGAGCCCAGAGGACTTTTCAGGCAGGGTCAAAATTGACTCCATTTTGTTGCCCTTCTAACCTAGCCGAGTATGTGCCGGCCCCTCCCAAATCCTCACCCCTGTGTATGACATCTGTTCCCCAAACCTTATCTCAATGAACTATTCCTCCCAATTCCTCACCCCAGTGACTCAAGTCTTATGATACCTGTTTCCCAAAACCTTATCTCAATGAACTCTGTATGACTGCCAACTCAGCACTCCACCCAACAGGACCCCCCATGAACTAATGACCCTGCCACTTCTTCCTCTCCCCCCCTTCCGTTTTTGCGGTTTTCAAGCTTAAATACTGATCCCTGTCAATGCTCGGGGTGCACTTAGGCACTTTGTGCCGGGTGTTGCCGCTGGGTACCAGCTAAAATAAAGCGCTTCTTTTAACTTTTGGACTTGCCTCGTTGTCATCTGATTTTTGAGCTACAACAGGGTCGGGCTGGAGGGGCTTAGTCACCCACTCAGGTGACTTATGTCTAGCTAGATTTCATTGGAGCAGGCATGCCACTTATCCCTCAGGGAGACCCCTAGGCCTGCTCACTCCATCTTGGGGCCTGCCACAGCCCACAGGTGTAAGGGGCTTTTACTTTGCACCAAGGCCTCTCCCAGGGCCCAGCCCTGTCTGACTGCCCTCACCAACGCAGTGAAGAACTTTTACCCAACGCAGCCCTCTGTAATAGATAAGCACTCAAGCCGCGAAGATCCGGGGCTGCCTCCCAGGGAAAGTTCCTCCTCCCCCGCACCGCAGCGCACGCGAAGGGCTGCCTCCTCCAGCCACTGCATTCCTTCCTCGACACTCTGCACACCACGCTCGCCCATTAGCAAGAGACTCCTATTGGATTTTCCCCGAAACTGGGTAAAATCTTTTCCCCTCCCACGTACGGGCCTCTGACACAGGGCATCTCGCTCAGCCAGGGTAAATGGGAGCGGAGCAGTGCAGCCCCATAATCCCAGCACTAGGGAAGCCGGGCAGCAGGGTCACCAGTTCAAGCACACGTGGGGCAAGTCAGCTATTTAGGAAATACTTGTCTGAAAAAAAAAATCAAAAGGGGCGGGGGACTTAACCTCAGTTGGAGATCCTATTTCTATCCGAGTACCACAAAAAAAAAGTACAATAGACGAGGTTTAAAAGTGCTTTTCACTTGAAGGCAGAACTCTTCCACCAGAACCTACAAATAGATAACTAAGAACTTTTTAAAAGCTTTTATGTTACAAAACTCTGGGTCAAATTCTTCTCAGCTCAGCATATAGTGTTAATCATTTAGGGAGCATCTGCCTAACAAGTCCAGCGAACAAAGTTTATTGGGCACAAATTTACCCAGCCTCCCTCATCCTCCTCCGGAATAAGGACACCAAGATAAGAGTATCTGGCGCACTGCAAGGTTCTGGCTCCGCAGGGACGCCCGCCCACTCGCAGCTAGGACAGGTCCAGCTCCGGCCCCATCCCCACCCCGGCAAGGCCGGTAGCTCTCTGAGTCTGCGACGGCTGAGACCCATCCCGCCCACGGGTACCCCGGTGCCCAGCCCCAGAAGCCAGGCTGCCCCTGGCCCGCACCGGGGCGCCAGGCTGAACGGCCCGAGCCGCAGGACTTCCCCTGGGTTGTTTGTTTGCAGACCCGCTTGATCTTGCCCAGCGCTACGCTCCCGTTTCCACATTTTCATTCCCGTTCTGCCGCGCCCGCCCGTGCTCCAGCTCGGATTCCCACCACCGCGAACGCAGGGAGCCACACTGACGCGGACCGGGGTGGCCGAGGACGCAGGGATGCAGGCAGCGTCCCCAAACTTACTCCGAGCCCGCCGCCGGCCCGCGCAGCACCCTTCGGCGCAGAACAATGGGCACCCCGGGGGGGGGGCGGAAGGCGCCCAGGGGACACGGACCGGGCGGGTGGTCCGCCGCACCCCGGAACCGCCCGTGCGCACCTGGACGCGCGAGGGTCCACCGGTCCCCCAGAACAGCGGGGGTGACGCGCTTTCCCTCTTCATCCAGCCTCGCGGGTCGGGGCCGCGGCCGGTGGGGCGCGACTCACCAGGTGTCGTCGCCGCAGGGAGCGCGGGGAAGCTGTCCGCCAGGAGACCGCTCGCGGGCGGCGCGGGGTTCCAGAACCACCAGTTGGGAGAGCTGGCGGCCGCGGGCTGAGGCTGCGCCCCGAGGAGTGCGGGAGCCTGCGGCTGGCCGAGCAGGCTTTGGCAGGCGTGTGCGCCGTAGAAGCTGGAGGCTGCGAAGTTGAACATCCTCGCGGTGAGCGCGGTGCACGCAGGAAGTCGAGCCCCTTTCTTTGCACGAGGTCACTCCAGCGCCCTCCGCTGGAAGAACTTCCGTACCCTGGAGCAAAGCATTTCAAAAAACAAAGCCCAGCGGGCTCGCTTATAATCCCGACGCTCGCGAGGCTAAGGTAGGAGGAAGGAGGATCACATGGGCTATCCTAGTGAGCTATGCAGAGCGAGACCCGCTCTGCAAAGAAACACGGAGGAAGGAAAAAACGGTGCCTTCTAGGTCAACCTGGATTTCCTAACGAGACCGTGTTAAAAAAAAAAAAAAAATCCCAGCATTTGAGAGGCTGAAGCAGGAGGAGTCTCACCAGTTCTAAGGCAGCGTGGGCTACAAAGTGAGTCCGAGGCCAGCTTCAAGTGCACAGTGAAACCCTAATAAAGGGGAGAAAGACAGAAAAGACGGGCGTGGCGGCTCTCGCCTATAACCTCAGCACTCGGGAGGCTGCACTCGGAAGGCTGAGGCAGGAGGAGGATTGCTGTGAGTTCAAGACCAGCCTGGGCTGCATATCAAGACCTTGTCTTAAAAAAAAATAAAAAAGAAAGAAAAAGAAAAAGGCAAGCGCAAGGGCCTGAGTTCAATCCCCTGGCAAGCGCAAGAGCCTGAGTTCAATCCCTGGTTCCGCCAAAAAAGAAAAAAAAAAAAACAGAGAAAGAAAGGAGAAGGCAGAAAATCGAGCTCCAAATTGAGGACAGGTCGTGGGCGCCCAGACCGGAATGGTGCCGGGTTACAGCTATGGAGTTCGTTAGGGACAGGACCGAGTTTGGGGCAGTGGTCCCTGGACCTCTCTGTTTGGGGAAAGGTAGAGCCCGGACCGCGCGGGGCGACGCGCGCAGCCCTGGTCACCCGGCAGGCGTGCGCACCTTCAGCGCCTATGAAAGCAAACG